TGCTTCTGAAATATTTTACTCAAATATCCAATGCCACATTGTGAGACTTTTTTTTTTTTAAAGTAATTATTCCCATTCTGCAGCTAGACAAACTGAGACAGAGGGGTAAGCACCTCTCAGCAGTCACACAGCATGCATGTAGTAGAGATAAGAATAAAACCCTCCTGATTTCCAGACTTTTGCTCTAATCACTAGAACCCACGGCACCTTAAAGAGGCACATTCATACCTTCCGTAGAGGTTTCCAGCCAAGGACTCTGAAGCACTTTTAGAAATATTATGGAAGGCTCCCAACTCCAAGGTAGAATAACTAATGTCACGGGTGGGGTTAGCGCTTTAATTAGAGTGGTTCCTGGTATTCGCTTTAATTAAAATGCCACTTTGTCATGTGTATTAAGCCCCTGTGGATTTAAAAATGGCCACAGGACGCTTTATCTAAACCTCATTTGATGAGGTTTAGATAAAGCGCCCCAATAGCCATTTTGAAACTCACAGTTCACATCCAGACAAGCCCGCAGGTGCCTCTTGCTGCGACTTAAAGCACTTTGAAACACAGCAAGAGGCACACTGTGAACAATGAAACGTTCCAAAATTTGATACCCGGATATCCAGGTATCAAAATAAAACAGGGGACAAAAGCGGGGCAGGGCATGGTCCCTGAGTTAACCTGGGAGCCAGTCTTCCAGAGAGATACTCTGGTTTCTGGCCAGAGCATCTCTATGGTGCTCCTGCTGCTCCAGCACATGGGACACAAACCCTTAGCATGCTGGGGCAAACAGAAGCTTGGCAAAGATCAGGACCTGGGTGCGGTCATGGGTAAGTGAGGACGTGGGGGTGGTTATAGGTGTGGGTGGGTGTGAGAAGTGCTGGGGGGTATAGGGAATGGCAGAAGCGACGGGATGGGTGGTCTGTGGGTGGGCTTGTGGAGGGGCTTGAGTGGGGGCTGCCACACTCCTACCCCGCCACTCACCTCCCACGGTGCCAGCAGAAGCAGCCAGCACAGCTGTGCCTTAGCTGCAGTCACAGCCAACAGCGACACAGCACTGTGTGACCCAGTCTCTGTACATGCTGAATGGACCTGGCCTGGCCCACTAGCGCATGGCTTAGGACAGGAACAGGAAAGCCATGTGGTAGCGGGCCGGGCCAGGTCCGTTCAGCATGTACAGAGCCCGGGTCACACAGCACCGTGTTGCCATTGGCTGTGCCTGCAGCCAGGGCCACAACCACACTGGGTACTGCCGCCAGCACCACAGGGGGCGGGTGGGGCAGCAGGCATGTGGTGGCCCCCACTCAAGCCCCTCCACAAGGCATGCAGTGGGACCTGACCTGGCTCAGCCCACTAGCATGCCTTTGCATGAAGCATGCCTCTGGGGCATGCAGGTCCTGTGCAAAGGCACACTAGCTGTGTGGGCTGGGCTGGGCTGGGCTGGGCTGGGCTGGGTCGGGTTGGGCTGGCAGGATGCGTTTTCCATGAGGCTGAGGCAGTGATGCATGGCCATGGCGCTATGCCTACAACAGGATGTGGCTCATTGCTGACTGAGCCTCATGGAAAATGCACCCCACCAACCCAACACCACCCAGGCCATGCAGCTAGTGTGCTTTTGCACAGGAGCTGTGTGGCCCAGAGTCACGCCTCCTGCTCCTATGCAAAGGTGTACTAGCATGCTGTGCCGGGCCAGGTCCTCCTGCACACTTTCTCCATGCACACACCATAGGTCTGCCAGGACATGCTGTGTCTTGCCACTGGAGGCTGGACACGGCCCAGTGTGACACCCGATCCCTGAGAACAGTGCAGGGTTCTAGGTGACAGTTTAAGTTGCCCAGGGCTGCCTGAAGGTACACAAGCCCGTGCTGCACTGAGCCAGACCCATGACGAGTGGCATGGGGGGCATCGGGTCTGAGGTGGCCAGGGCTGCGGTACACCGCTGGGGGCCCTGAGCATTCAACGGCTGCTGCTGCTGCTGCAGGGGTGAGCTGTAGGCCCTGCAGGGAGCGGGGGTGGGGGCTGGTGCCCTGCGGGAAGCAAAAGCAAACATCAAAACATTTAGATATTTAGAATTTATTTGATGATAGAGACACTGGTAGTCTTCCAAGTTGCTTCAGAATTGTAAATATATCAATAACACTTTGCCCAACTGTCTGTCTCACTTTAATTGTGGAAGAACATAGGTTTTAGGGTATTTTAAAAAGGAATTTGGGATTTTTTTTTTAAATCAGAGATTTTGAAATTTTTAAATAGTGAACACCAGAATTCCTGCTAGTGAGGCAAGGGGCAGGACTCAGGCAGAGACGCCTGCTCAGAGCTGGCAGCTGGGACCCATCTGGAGGTGGGTGACCTCCTGGCCACTTGGGAGCACACCACACTGAGAACATCTTCCGGGAGATAGCTGCCCAGATGGCAAGGCAGAAGCACAAATAGCAGTAGTGCTGCCCAAAGGCCAACTGTGCAGCCACAGCCCACTGGCAGCTGGCCCAGAGGTGCAGATGCTTCTGCTGTGACCATGCAGTCCCCATCCGGGCCTGACAGGTGCACAGCCTTGGGGCCACATGCTGTTGCAGGTCGCAGCAAGTCATAGCCAGGCAGCAGCCTCCACTGCCAAACTGCTGCAATGGGTAGAGGGTGCAGGGAACTCTCTGTTAGGGTTGCTGCAGCAGTCCAGCTGGCACAAGGGGCTAGTGTCCTTAGATACCAGTTGGCCAGGCCCCAGAAGCTCCTGAAAGCAAGTAGCCCTGATCTACTTGCCAGGGCAGGTTTTTATACTGCTTGGGCCAGTACAGGTGCTGGCCCCAGGCTCTTGCTCCCCCTGACTGCAGATCCAGGAGGAGCTGGGCAGGGTTATTTTGCCCCAAGTGACACAACTTGCCCCACACCAAAGTGTTTGTCCAGACACATGTGCTAAGGCAAAAATCCCTGGCCCAAATTTGTGTTGCTCCTATTTGAGCTGCTGCAAGCACACATGCTTGCATGTGTGGATGTGCGCACAGGGGCTTATATACATAACTGTGAGGCCATGCTGCAGCGTTCTAAATTAGAAGGTGAACCAGCATGTGTATTGGCAGCCACAGAGATTAAGATATTTTCCCCAAGATCACATTAAACTTTGGAGTAAGGATTAACATATCCAAGGGCCAGTCTTTTTTGGGTTTTTTTTTAAATAATTAGACATTACTGCCTCTTTAATGCATTTTCTCAGGTTAGTATCAGTTCCCCAAACAACCAGGGGCCAGATTTATAAAGATATTAAATGCCTAGAGATCCACAATATAAATCCCAGGAGGCACATAAGACTTCTAAAGTGAGGCACCTAACTACATTTGTATATCTGCCCCTACATTGGCCCTGGTTCTACAAACAAAGTCCCACTAATATAGTGACATCCTCCAAAACAATGAAAGAACATGGAATAGTTGATAAGAATAAAAGCAGCACCTCCCCCCATGCAAACACTTTAAATTACACAAAGTTCTCAAAAAAATCTAATTTTGAGTCCTTTTATGTGTTCTAATCTTCTCTCCCTTTTTTTTAATTTTGAACACAGCTGTCTGTTGTACTTTCTCGAATGATGCCAGATGCTGGGTTCATCAACCAAACACATGAAAACAATGGTTTGAAAGCAATTAGAAGCACCAAGGCTGCACTGCGGCTCATATTAAAATGTGATAACACTGTTCTAGTGGGAATTGTAGCACTGCTGCATTTCTGACATTTCTGTGCTGCCAGACAGACAGGATGCGTTGGAAGTGGGCCCTGATCGAGGAGGTAACATACTGGAATTTATTTCTGAAGCAAATGAAGGATTAGCTGAGTTGGAACACTTGCAGGATTTTTATAGTGGCCTCAGCTCCCATCTTCTTTGAATGTTGGCAAATCCTTCTGCTTGCATTCACTTATCACAATAATCATATAAAAAGCTCCCCCCTTATATATTTGTAGTCTTGTAAGATGTAAACAGCCTGGATCAGAGACGAGAACTCCATTGTGTTAGGGAACTATACTGGTATATCAGGCACAATTCCCCTGGTGATGAAGTAACCACTACTGTTGCTTCCAATATGAACTCCTCCCATCTCCTGCCCAAATTAAGATTATTTACATTATGACACTAAGGGGAAACCCTAATCCATGGTCAGGGTCCCATACTGTACTACTATACATAGAATGAGAGCTGATGTCCTAAAGAATTTACAATTTGTATATAGATAAATCAAACAAATTAATTTGAATGAAGGGAGGATGTGAATTTAAAAGCACAAGAGCATTCTATGTAACAGCACATTTATGCCAGAAATAAGAATGCTTTGTTCCTATTTAGCTTAATCCCAATTCTCCTTATACCCATTGCACAAAACTGGCATGCTGAGTCCTGCCCCCACCATATCTACCTTACGATAGTATTCAGGATTGTAGATTTCCTAATAGGTAAATGCTTTTTAATGAGATAGTGGGTAGTTAGCTCAACTTACATCACCCAGGCAGAGAACACCAAGTACAGACAAGCACTAAATCAACTCAGAAGATGAGAGGGGGAACCCCCCCCCCCCACAAACAAACCAAAAAAACCAGAGGCACAAAAAAGCAAAGTGATTTTCTCAAAGTTATACACCAGCACTGTGAATGGAACCCTGAGTTCATGGCTCCCAGTCCAGTTTGCTATTAGATTGCTCTGCCTCCAATTAAAAGGTATCACTGAACAATTTCCAGAGGCCACATTACCTTATCAGAAGTCATTCTTAGACCTCAGGGGATACAGTGTTTATGTGAGCACCACACACTTTTGGGGACCCTTGTCCAAAGCTAAGGAAAAAAGAACCGTGACTGGTCCCAAACAAGCTGGACTCCAACAATTTGCTGGATCCTTACCAGAGTTTTCCCACCCTTGCTCCTACTTCCTCCATTTGCTTGTACTTGTTTAAAGCTCTTCTCCCTGTCAACCTTTCTTAAATCCCAATTTCCACCACCCCCCTCCAATAAATAAAATATTATCAACAAGACGCACTCACCTCGGGGCAGAAATTCCAAGTGGTACCTGAAAGACAAAGATAACGGGTATAAACACAAATTAGTCTCTCAATTATTTGTTCCATTCTCATGAACAACTGACAGATGGAAGAATTATGCCAGACATGCTGCCAGGGATTCAGTTAATGTCCAAACTGTGCTTCTTACAACAGAAGCCTCAAGAGAAGCTACAGGACCTACAGATGCTAATTGGCCGTCTTGAGATTCCCTACTGCATAAAGATTTACTTTATCGCTGCTATCTCCCCCCCACCCCCCAGTTTCAATTCCAGAGGTTGCCAAACTTTTTCATAATAGAAATGTCTTCGTCAAAAGTAAGAGGTTAGTACAATTTCTCACATCAGTCCCACAATCCCCATCTTGCACCTTCATTGCAAAGACTGCAGTCACATGAAAAAAACAAAACGAAACAAACCTGAAGTATACTAAGAAAACTAGATGAATAAACTCACAGGACAGAAGCTGTGGCTATGTTGGAGAAAGTTTCTTCTCTGTTCTGTATATGAGCTGTTTATCCCATAAAACCTTGCCTACAGTGTGGGGATAAACCTTTACTAAAAGACCAAATCTCTCCATGTGCCTGCAGCTCATGTGCATGCAGATCTCATACAAAAACTGGATAACAGTTTTTTCACTATGTTCTTATTGTTTGTTCTTCTTCAACCTCACACAGATAAGGTTCTCCAAGAACCATCTAAAAGTTAGTTTCCTTAAACTCCACACCCCCAGCACTTTGGCTCTCTTATATACTGGTTTTCTCCACCCATTTCTCCACTTTGTTCTATACCTTCATTTGACAATATGGCAAGGCATTAAAGCTGCACCCCAGTCAAGAGCCCCTCCATTCATATAAAATGCAGCAGATAAGATGCATATCCTCTGCTACATGTTTTCCTGTTATTCCATATATACTGTTTGTACGTGAATAGTGCCCAGAGGCCCCAGATTCAGGCACATTGCACTAGATACAGTGCAAACACAAAGAAAAAATCTCTAGAGTTTGCGATCTGGATTTACAAGATGAAAAAAAAAAAAAGGATTAGGAAAGTAGATTTGCAAGCAGATTTGCAAGTCAGTGCAGTGCAGAGCTGAGTTCCAGGTGCCTCAAGTACCAGACCATCTACCAGACTCATTTATCTTACCTTCTTTCACCCATGCTTTGCACAATGCCAAATAAGAGAACAATATCAACAGCAATTTCAGAAACATGGGAAAGTCATTTGACCCAACTCAAAGCAAAAAGGTTTCATCAAATAGCTTGGCTTTGGAGGGCAAGCCACAAAATGACCTACTCACAGGCAAAATGTTTAGTATAAAGGGTTGGGTCTATCAGATGTCAGTGGCAAGAATCCAGTATGTATGAATCCAATCAATTTGTTTCCTCATTAAAAGCTTTCATGAAGAAAATGATTTAACACAAATGTTCAAGCAACTGACACTGATTAATTAGAAAACAACAACAGAATCCTGATTAAGGGCATAATATTTATTTCACTCCTTTGCTTTGGACAAAGCATGTGAGAAGGAGAAATTGTATCTAGAGAAACAGGCCCCAACATTTAAATCAATGATAAAAAGCTGCTGTATAAATTGGAAAGCACTACGCAACCTGGGTCTTGTACTCTGGTATTCTATATCCACCTCTTCTGCCAGCATTTCTTTGGGCGTGTCCAGATGAGCGTGCACATGCCTCTTGCCCCGTCTCAAACCCCTCTGAGGCAGGACAAGAGGCACATACGGGAAAAAATGTTCCCTGCGCTGTAAGTTTGCAGCACAGGGAGAAAATTAGACCCCTGGATATCCAGGCCTAAAAAAACCACTCCACAGAGGAGTGGAGCAAGGTCCCAGGCTGTGCCAGGGAGTCAGTCCTCCAAAAGAGCTGACACCAGAGCATCTCCTTCATTCTCCTGATGCCTCTGGCCCCCGGTGCTGTCCAAGGTAAGTGTGTGTGGGGGGGGGGGGCGG